TAGTACTTAATGACTGACTGAATGGAAATGACAATAAATGAAAATGTAAAAAGCGATCATGAAAATGTTTCCAATAAATGAATAAAATGATTTTTGTCCACTCTGTTGTTCAGATATATCACATATTTGTAACTAAATGATACATTAATTGAAACAAAACACAGTATAAACTGAGGAGTGAGTCCCGTGAGTTTCATGTGTTTTCTTCACTCCGCTGTTAAACTGCTCTCAAGTCAAGAAGCAACAGATCAGTGCATGCGCTGCATCGTCCAATCAGTGAGCGATACACAGTAAGGGGGCGGGCGAGTGTCTGAGGATTTCACGAGAGAATGGTCTGGTGGTTCCTCCGTTATCACTCCTCGATCCTCCGGCAAAAATAAGGCCATTGGGACGGTACTCAAGATGGCGCAGACAAATCAACTTCCGGTGATACCGAGCCCGAGGAGCGAGGAAATGAAAAATAACCGAAGTGAGACGCAGCCCAAGACTCTAAATCAACACTTAGCGAAACGGGCTAACGGGGCTAATGGCTACTTTAGCACATAACTGGCAAAAGCGATCTTTTCTACATAATTGTATCAGCACAAACGACATATCACATGAAAGCTGAGATTCCACAGATTCCATTGGTATAAATCTCATCACTGTACGACCAATACTCACTGAACTAGCTTCGTGCTTGCAGACGGAAAAGAACAATTAAACCTAAGCGACCCGGCCCGCCCAAGTAAAGTCTATGTGTGGGAAACCCTGTAATTTATACTGTTGGTTGAAGGGTCTGCCATTTGCACGCTGGCAGGAAATTGCTTTAAGAGCTTGAGGGATTCAAAGAAAACAATTCTGCATGTTATCTGTAATCAGTGGAATAGTTTTTAACTTCATCTCACTGATAACAGTGTACCAGGCAGGTTATTGTTTCATCTTCCAACGACGTACCACATGTGTACACGTTTCTGCAGTTCTACTTTATTAGGGATTTGCCCATATGTCACTGCCATGAACATGACATCAACTGTTGCATTTGTGTTATTGTGTTGGAGTAACTTGACTGAACGACATTTATTGACAACAGTAAGGAATCCTAAGGATTAGTTCATGTAACAAGCGATATATCAGTCTTATCAAAACCCTTTCAAATAAAGTGTTACTCAGACTTATTACAGAAGATGGTGAGCTGGTATTGATTGTTTTAAACACTAACTGTGACAATATCAGCAGGCAATATCGTTGGTTAAATTAGACATGACTAAAATATACTTTTAAACAAATCTAAATCCAATATTTATGCATAATTATAATCCTTGCTATAATGCAATCTGAGAGTTTTAAAATATAAAAATTACCCCCAGTTGCCTTGAATCTGGAATATAGTTAATACAGGACAAAATGTTTTTTGTAAAAGGCATTAAACATGTTTTTTCTCATTTCAAGTTGTTTTAGCACCGCTTTGTTGAACAACCTTAAGTGGCCATTGGAGGAACTGCAGTTGTTGGCACTGCATTGGCCTAGTTCTGCAGATGCAGGGTTTGCTGCTAACTTAATCTGTCAATGGCTTTTTCTGTTGGCTTCTGCTTGACTGTGAAGTGGCCACAGGAAACATGAAAGCATACATTTTCAGTATTTTTCTCATGGACAACATTTTGTAATGTCTTCAAGGGAGTAATTGAACAAGAAGGAACCGCAAGATAGTCAACTTTACCTTATAGTGCGGAGTAATGCCCAGCATGAAACCCTGTTGCAGCTGCAATGAAATCAGACTGACCTTTTTATTAAACAAAATGTGTTTGTTTGGCTGTAGACCTTCAGTTGCTCTTCTGTTGTATGTTGTGACAAAGTAGCTACTCAGAGTCAGTGTGTCTAATAAAGTGTCATACCTTACTTGCTGATATCTCAGTAGGCTTAGGTCTAAAAAATAAATACCTAGAAAACATAAACGGGAAAACGGGACTGTTCTGGTAGTGATGAAAAACAACGTTATTCTGACGTCCATCATACGTCAGAATAAATGATTAAAGACTTTTTCAAACATACAGGCACTTGTGTGATCTCAGTAGGTGTTTAATGGAACCCTCTACCGTGCAACACTCTACTCCTGTGGCAAAAGCAACGACTAAATCCTCTTCAAAGCAAGGAAACAATCAAATTCTAACACACAGTGATGATGCTGTCTGTGGGCAACCCTCCAACTAAACCTCTGACAGACCGGTCATGACGCAACGCAGCGGCAACTGCCTGCATATCAATGCATTTAGGTGAACAGCGTTTCATAACTCTGCCTGAAATAGACACCTTTTCTTCAACCGTCTGAATCCAAATGAGGCCACAAATGAAAACGGATGGCCACTGTGGTTAGTTCAACTGTTGCGATTAAAAATGGTTGATAAGTCTGGGAAAATAAATTAGGAAAATCTCATTGGTGGTCTAAATAATACACATTGAGGTGAATATTTAGATTTGAAATTAGGGCCTTCGACTCTAGGGCAGCTTTAATGAGCAAGATAAAAGGAAGGAAGCAGCAGCTGGTAACTTTAGGCCCTGATACTGTGCTCACGGAACACACGGTAAATGAGCTGCTTTGTGTCCAGTACGGTGTACGCCAGGAAGAGGGAGAACATCAGTGCATGGCTGTGTAGCAAGTTTGTCCTCTACTGTTTACACAGAGGTACTACAGAATAAAAATACTGCAATGTATAGTTTGTGGGAAGTTACATTTTAAAATGAGTCACAAAATTGTTAAACATCACTTATTAGAGATTAATAAAACAAAGAAGCAATAAACCATTTGAAAGTAAAACATGTCAACTAAAAAAAAACAAGGAAATAGGTGCAGAAAATTACCATCAAATCACAATGTGTGCAATAAGGCCACAATCTTCTATCCTGATAGTCAATTAACATTTAATTACAATATATCTAAAAATACCAAATGTATTATTGTATAATCCTGTGTAAATTGAACATAATAGTTCCAAGTGAAATTATGAAGAATAAATACATTATTCAGCTATGAATTGACTATGTTTACAGAGTTATCAAGACAATAGTTTGATCAGATTGTGCTTGTTGAGGTCAATTTAGACGATGTAATTGTGTATCGTGATGTATCATTTTGTCCAAATATGTTTCCATATCGTATTAAATTATCAAACAGCTGACCAACAACTGGAAGATGGGGAACATCAGACAGAAGTAGAAACAAAGTATTCAATAACCTTTCTGCTGAAAGCACCACATAATAGAGACCATGAACAAACATGGATGAGTTTCTTTGTGCTGTAGGAACAGATCAGAGGGGGCACAGACATGTCAGCTTTTTATTGTGGGGAGATTTGTTTAAATCAATGTACACAGTTGTTTTATTCATATGTTGTAGGTGCTAATAGAGGGATTGTTTCATACGTGGGACCAATAAAGTAACCGTACCTATTTTTTACAAATCAAGAACGATTTAAAAGGCCATGGTATATCAAACTCGACACATTGTTTTATGTGCATCAAATAAGGTAGAAGTATGGTTACAACAATGAAGTCACTGTATCATTATGTCTAGAAAAGGAATGCTTCTTAATCTAAACAACACTTTTGAGGGAGGGAACACATTCAGGGAGGTCCTGGTTTGAAAATCAAACGCCTCCTTAGCTCCCCGAAAGCTAACGTTCACATACTAATACGGTTAGCTTATTATTAACCTGTTAGCCGATTGGGAGGCTGTAACAGGAATTATTATTGACGTAAGTCAGTAATGTAATGGTTTGAATAACGCAGTACGCATTAAGTATGAAACAGCTCAAGAGAGCACTCTACATTAACGTTATCTGTCCGCCATGACGATGCTCACACTTTAGCTAGCATCCGGCCATCACTGGCAACACTTGGGAAGCGGTTTCTCTGCCGTCCTTAACCAAAACTCAACACGCAGTTACACAGCAACGTAGTTAACACTTACCAGTCCCTCAATCTGGATCTGGTTGACAGGAGAGTCCAACGTGCCGGCTGGAATAGCCATAACGGCGGTAGAAGCTGTAGCAGATTCTTTACGTGAAGCCATATTGAAGCAGCCACACGCGGAAAAAGGGAGGAAAGTGTTCGGGGACGGACGTTTCCGGTAAAGATGCGCTGGTGTTCCTGTCCGTATAGAAACAAAGGGGCTCTGCAGATTCCCCTTTGGTTGAAAATAGTAGCGCGCAAGAAGTACATAGCTTGTACGTGGATAGGGAAATTATGTATTTTAGTATATTAATTGGCCAATAGATAGAGATATGATACATCTCGAACAATGCAATAACACCATATCTACTTTACCCTGGGGGATAAATCAATTATTTCTGATGTTGCAGCTAATTAAGACCGTTTTTTAATCATACAAATGGAAACTTATCAACACATTAATAACATGAATTATTCCCTGACTTGGATTCTGCTGAATTAACGGTTGATCTGATCTATTCGACTGGAAGTCAGACGGGTTCGTGTTGTAACAGGATACATTTGAATGAATAGCTACTGTGCACACTTTTAAATATATATGGTAGCCATGTTTATATGCCTCTGTCCCTTTAGTAGCTTGGTCTTTTGGAGAGTATTCTATTCTGTATATGTTATAGTGTGTATTCTTAGATACTCTGCTGAATATATGTATTTTCTACTGTAAATATGTATATATTGTATTTTATTAATTGCTGTATAATGCATTTTATTTTTAAGAAAATTGTCGTTCTTGTACAACTGTCAAAAATGCTAGTGACAAAACAATATCACAACTTCGGATAAATTTAGTATTTATCCATCCTTTTTTCGGTAGGTTTAGTACCACTGCAATTCGGTGTACGACTATAAAATGGGAAATTAAATGCCATTGTCTTTTCTACTGTGTGCAATCAGACCACACATATATATACACTTACAAAAAACATGGTTTCTATATTGATTCTTTCTTCATGTCTAGCTTTATGAAGCCCATTATTAGAAAATTACCCTAAAAGTGAATAATGACCATTAACCAAGTACTTAAAACACTTTATTTCAAATCTTTACAGATGTATCACAACTAGGTTACCCGAAGACTAAAAAGGTGGGATACTGAACTTAACTGTAACAAGAACATTACCTAGTTACATAATGCAAAAAAGGTGAATAAGCATAAACGTAAAAAGGTACAAAACAAATATTACATAAAACTTAAGTGATAAACTGCCTGAATTATCAACATCTGAAACATGATATTTAATGCCAGCTAAGATTCACCATTATTTTTGACAGATTAATTGTTTTGTTTATCATGAAAGAACAAGTGCAACAAGGAGAAGATGGGACAGGTTACACCTCTGAGCAACAAAACAGTACCTTTCCATAACATGTACAGAGTCAATACAGGATTCCATGTGAAAATACAGGGCTCTTTATCTAAAATCTGCAATGATTCAGGTGCGAGGGGCAATGGTACGAAACTTGTGAAATAAGAAGACAATGGAAGTTTTACTTACAAAACAAAACAGAAGCTTACAAATTGGTGACTGAAAAAAGATGCTTTATAAATATACTTGTTAAACATTCTTCTCACTTTGTTTGAACCAAATGAATACTGCATGATTCCACCTGTAGTACAGTAAAATCCTTTATTTTAAAAGCTTCAAACCCGTTTCCCACTACACCCTCCCCCAGAAAAAATGGGCTGACAGGCAAATAGTTGAGTAATTAAAAAAGTATGTCTGTTGCAAGCAGAGTGCGTCTGTTCTTCCAATGTCTAAATAAGGTTGAATCTTGGTCCAGCGGCGGCGACGATGTCGCTGTAGGGCTCAGTCTGGGTGATCTCGATGGCTTGCTGCTTCTTGAGAACGAGGAAACTGTAAAACTTAGCAGCAGCCTGCTTCTTGTTGTTGTTCCGGCACAACTCGATCAGGCTGACTGAGTCTGCACCAGTCTTAGCCATGACGCGCTATGGGGTAAAAAGCACAAAATGTTTCCATAAAACCATGAATAAAGCTTTCCAAATTGTGTTATTTTATTCAAATATATAAAGAGAAACTCTTTTGCACATGGCAGATAAAAAGTAAAATCCTGGTTAAATCTCTGAAACCAAAATGCAATCACAGGGTTTTACAAAGAAAGCCTATGACAACAGTTTCAGTCTACTTTATAAAAATGCAGATAAATGTCGTAAATAACAGTGTTTCTGTACCTGGAGTCCGTGCAGCATTTGCTGGGTTCGCTTGTTCCACCTCTTCTCCTCCTGATCCTGATCTCCAGCCTGACCTTCCTCTTCCTGTGGATCAAACACACCATCATTAGCATCAAATGGCCCATACTCAGAACCCAACACACTTGCCTTTGTGTAGTCTCTACTATAACATTGCAATAATTACTTGTTTTGTTTTACTTACTCTCTTCTAGCACTTTTTCTTAAAAACTAACTACCAGAATGCATCACTATCAAATCATTCATTCAGAATACAGTTAACCAGAGAAAGTTTTGCCCCTCACCTCCTCTTCGTCGCTATCATCCTTCTTGTCTTTATCCTTTTCTCCCAGCAGGTCCAGCTCTGGGACGAGCTGTGTGAGGCTGAGGCTGCTCTCCTCTGGGGGGAGGTCCACTGGGTGCATGTCTAACCCCTGAGTGTCTAACACCTGCTGCGGCTCCAAGGGAGCCATCTGAAAGAGAGGAAAGCAGTCATTACTTGATTTGTGAGCATTTCCGAGTGCTGCGTCAGAATTCAAATAAGTAAAACATAATTTAAGAAAAAAAGAAAGCCACCATATGGCGTAATAGCTCCGTTCATTAATAGATTAGATCAATGTGGCCCGATTAAAGTGAAATAATCTAATGTGCAGCCAGCAGTTTAACAAATTGGAAACAATTTGTCATGTCGTGAATTATGGCTTTACGGCCTAACCATTAGGCTGTTGAACATCATTTTTTATCTGTATGAAGTTCTATGGAAACATTTTGCAAACTCAATTCCAGTGTTTTGAGACAGAAGAATGAAGGTGACAAGTACTCACAGGTAGGGAGACCTCTTTGTCGATGGTCTTGCGTTTGACCCCGCGAGGGGTGGAGGGAGGAGGCATGACTGTCTCGTCCAGGGTGGTCCTGCTGCCCTCCATCGCAGAGGCTGACAGCATGCTGGGCTCCTCCATGATAGTTGGGTCTGAAGGAAGGATAAGGGAGATTGTTAATGAAAAGTAAAATGTGGACGTGAACACAGCCTTAATAACTGAAGGCGTCTGATGTTTTTCTGCCACTGGTCCCTTTCCCCCTCACAGAACTCATGACATGTCTGCACTGGGATGTGACCTCCCCTCGTCTCTTCGAGCGTGTCTTACCGATAACATCTCTGTGCTGACTCAGGACCTCTTCTCTGGGCACCTCTGGGTTCTCCAGTTCTTTGAGGAACTCATCCAGACTGTCTGCTTCGCCGCCCTTTCTCCTCTTCCTCAGCTCGTCCGGCACCAGAGGCGTCAAGCAGCGGGTGAACATCTGACACCAAAGATTTTAAAAGTTAAACTTCTACAAAAGTTTTATTTTAAAACAGCAGAACACTTTATGCAAAGTCGGTTGTATAATAAAGCATAGGGAGTGTTAGGGAGGACGGATGCTAGACAAAAAGAAAAGTCTACTCTGCTCAATTATGCATCAACACGTTTCTTATTCAGTATTCTGGAAGGGTAACTTGTGGGTGTGGGAGGATAGGGAAAAAAAGACAGAAACCAATCGCTTTCTCCACCTCCTGTTCCTTCAATGCTCTCCTTTTAAATCGCACAGCCTGAACTGAATGTCAATGAATGATACAATAAAATAAATCTTCCTTCTCCTCCTCTATTAAACAGTGCCTGAGTCTGACCTACTTGGGAGAATCAGACCTCCGGTGTGTGGCTTGCTCATTACCGTTCCCAGAGTGGTAATACTGCTTGTCAGTGATTTACAGATCTGGTACGATTCAAATAGTTACGTGTACTTTTTGTATCCACAAATGCATATTTATGACAAGCGATTGTTACCTTGAGCAGCCTGGCGTTCCACAGGGGCTGAGCGGGCAGAGAGAAAAGCTTCTCCACCCCTCCGGTCTCCTTCCACATCATGAGCTTCTTGGTGGGAGGGGCGAGGTCCAGAGTGGTGACGATGTCCGAGTAGTCCGACAGCTGGGCCCTGATGGTCTTACTGTCCAGCTCCTTCACACTGTCCACAATCAGCTTCCTCTTACGCTTCGCCTTGGTCTCTTTCACTGTGGAGTGAAGGAAAAAATGAATACTATATGACTGCTTTGCTTTTGTTACTCCATCATTAAAAATATATCATTTCGGAAACTGTTGTAAATAAAGCATTACATAAAGGATTCATTTTCAATTGAATATCAATGCTGCACGGTTTTTTAAAACAGTCCTGTGCATATTTGCAACATTGCCTGCAACTGCACAATACAACCAGTAGTGTTTCATAGGTTAGAAAAGGTACAGCAACATCTCTAATGGTTAACAAATGTATATTGATAGTATTCATGCCCTTTTTATTATATCTTCCTGCTTTTGCTATATTGTTCAAATTGTGGAACATTGAAAAAATGGGAACCTTGAAGATGAGACTTTCTGCAGAATTGCTTTTGAAAAGAAGAATTAACTCCGAATTGTATACAAAAATAGAAAAAATAAGAAGTTTAGATGCAGACATCTCTACAGGAAGGTTATGGGAGGGTCTTACCAGTGATGTCAATGGGCTCCAGGGCAAAGGCCTCCTCCTCATTGTGAACCAGAGTGGTCTGCTCTGTCTGGTCAGCCATGGCTGGCAGGGGCTCTGCTGGGCCGGAGTCTGGGCTCTCTGGACCCGCTGCACACACACAAACAAAATTGAAGTTCTCCATAAACATGCAAGTTATGCCACAGTGTGCATATAACTTATAATAACACACAACTAAGCATGGTTTTCAGCTGAACTATATGATGTGCAGTTTTATAGTGTGCACCAACTACAGCAATACGATTGAGAAGAAAGTGCAGAATTAACTTTTTCATTCGCTGTGCAATAAGACAAAGTCAACTTTACTTACGTGACTGGAGGTTGTCGAAGTCGTCCTCGTCGTCTCCGTGATCTGGAGGCATCATGACGCTTTCTGCGAGGACTGGAGGGTCATCAAAGATACCTCCCCCATCTTCAGAGCTCAGTAGCTTATCAACTGGAGAAAAAAATAAATCAGGATTAACTCTTTATTACTTAAATCGTAAAAGTCTTAATAGACAACTTCAATTGTAGTTTAATATAGCCAATGTTCAGATTTTTTTTTTAAAGTATATAAATGAACCATAGAAAATCTCACCAAGCATTCCCCCATCAGTGTTGCCCAAGGAGGCGTCCCCGAAGTCGTCGTACTCCATGTGGTTGGACTTGTCAGGGAGAGCAGCTGGGCCTGGCTCAGCCTCCAGCAAAAGGTTGGAGGCTGTGGCGCCGTGCATGATATCCTCCTCAAACGTGCTGGGATCACGCATCATCTCACGGTCATCCATACCAAAGTCAGCTGAAGTGTAGAGAAGGTTATTTTTAGAGATGAGTCACAGATTTAAAATGTTGATCATTAAATGCTGTATGTTAAAAATGTTTTCCTTTTTATCATGTTGAAATATACTACCATTTACACATACATATGCAGTGTATGGTAGGAGTTGATATCAAATATATACAATGCATGTATAGTGTCGTACCAAAGTCATTGTCCTGCAGGAGGCTGAGGTTGCCAACATCTTCCCTCATTGTGATCTCTTCCACTCGGCTCTGGTTCAGGGTGAACTGCTGGGCCACATCTATGTCACTGTTGGAAAAAGCATCGAGGATGAGGAAGCAGCCGGTGCGCATAAAACCTCAATTTACAAATGATGATGGGTGGAAAAGAGATCAGTAAATGTTGTCAACTTACTCCAGATCAGGTAATGGCTGGTCAAAGTCATGGAATTCCTCGGGGAGGGTGATGGCATTGTAGGCTGCCTCTCTATTTTCCTCAGGTAGATCCACCACACCTTAAGGTACATACAAGTAATAATGTTGTTATACCATGCAACTGTTCTCCCATGACCCTTTGCTTCACAAAGTCAAAGATGAATCTGCATATTTTTGTATATCAGCCATGTGACTAATTTAAAAGAACATTACAAAAAGCACTGTGCTCAAGGACTATTTTGACTTGTCATTTTTGCTTACCTGGCCTAAAAGCCATTTTGATCTTGATGAAGGCTTCATTACAGTCGGCAAGCAGGTACTTGGCCTTCCTGTGGTAGATTCTCACCACCCCGAGCAGCAGGTGGCCTGACGTACGCAACGCCATCTTGACCTAAGAAGAGTAAAAAAGGTGTGAAATGGAACAAAGATATGTCGTGTTAGTAGGGTACCTTCATCTAAAAACAAGACTGTACTGTGTCATGAGAGTACAACATTGTACAGCAATGACGTGATTTAAAAAACCACAGTGAAAATAAAACATTTTACAAAGGCTCAGCAATTTGCTGAGGCTAAGCTTAAGGCAAGTTAGATTTGAGACATTTAAATGCATTTAAAAACCGAGCAACACCAAAAATAAATTATTCATAAACTTCAACGTGTTCACATTTTAGGACTTTTGAAAGATGGATTAAATACTTTTAAATAACAAATAAGCCTTATTTTTAGATCATTGGATTAATTGAAGTCTTTTAAAAAGGATCGGCAAAAAACATTTTGCTCATATGGGTTTTCATTTATCCTTATTCTTCTTTGGTAGAAAAATGTGTTATTATTTAGCTCTTTATCATCAAAAGGCAACAACAACAGTAGAATAAAAGCCATTCAACAACTCTGGGCTAAAGCAACACTGAAGCGTGCACTGTGAACTGAAGCACTGCAGCAGGAACACCAGGATGCAGAGAGAGCACTTTTGTCTTTTTACCTTTGGACAGATGATGCTCTCCACACTGCTCTCGAGGTTGCATTCGAAGACATGAGCCTTGGTCAGCTTTTTGTCCCAATGGGCCGCTAGCCAGATCTTGGCCAGCGGCCCACGTTTGCTGAGGACAAAGTGGGCGTAAAACATTGCCCTGGTTCCCCTGGCTCACACAGAGGTATGGTTCACCTGGAAGAGAATATTGATTAGTTTATGCAGAGAAAAGTGATTCTAGAAAGGCCAAGAGAAAAGACAAACTTCAAGAACAATATTATTCCTTAGACGCATTTGAGAAACAATGTCGTTTTAGCATAACTTTAGCTAATTATCACAGTTCATGATTAGAGAATATAATTTTATAGAATATATGCTTGGTTATTATGAACAGTTTGAACATTTCACTGACATCAAGCTTTTCAGAAAATCGTGCTCAATAATGTTGGGGGAAGTTACAAGCAAACCTGAAGAAAAAAAACAGCTGGAACTGCACTTATCAGAATAAGCAGGCTATCAAACATCTAACTAATCTTTAAAGAAAAGTGTTGTTTATATTGGCATAGGAAAGAAATCCAAATAAATAAAGACCGCCCAAGCCAAAGCCCATTTATAGATTGAGCAATATTTATTGAAACTCGGGGTTATTTTCCCTCTTCAGCAAAGAGGAGAAACGTTAAGCCCAAATCCCCCTTCAACGTTGAATGGTTTTGGCAAAAGTAATGTTAGACATAGATGGTTCTCAATTCATTATAACCGGCAACTCATTTAAAACGAATTTGGGCCTACTATATTCCAAAGGAACTTATTTCATTACAACATTTGCTAATCTTATCTCGCCTCATTAGATAACGAGCACTAACATCGATAAAACTCCTTCGAAGCACTCGTTTTGTCTCTTGCTGCTTAATTTGACGAAATGTTAACTTAAACAGTTTATTGTCACATTACTCATTGAATGTAAAAAAATAAATAAAGCACGGAATGATATTTTGAAAATGAGATTTTAAACAAAACAAGCGCCGACTTCAGTCAAGTTCCGCCTATTTCCCTACCAGAGAATCAAACATTGGAAATGCACATGTCTGCCTACAATAACCGACACTTTTCCTGTTTGCAATTGATTAAAATAACTCTGCGTGGTTTGTGTGCAATAAATGCGATGTGATGAGTTTAGGGCGCCAAGGGGTTGGTCAGCGCCAGTAAATAGTCGGCGCCATCAAGTGGGATGAACTAAATTAGCCGCCAGCTAACTACAAAATGAGCACTGAAGCCGATTCATACAGATTAAGGTTAATTGAAATAGAGTTATAGATTTAAAAAAACGGTGGACAAACCACAATTTGCCAATGAAACAACAGTAAAGAAACCGGAACGAGGCGTCTATCACAACCTACTCGTACTTTTTTCCCTCTAGTAGCACAACTGTATCGTTAGCTGGTGGCTAACGGCTCCCTGTACAGTGAAGGCCGCAATACATCCACACAAACGTGCATGCTTATTTCACCTCGTAAAACACACAAAACAACCCGAAAATATTTCAGCTGCAAGCACACTTACCGGGAGCACCCCCTTTACGATGAAATCCCAATGATTATGTTATTTCTCCCAGCGAATTCTCCCCTGTTGTACTCATTAAAACAGCCAAGATGGCGCCAGTCGCCTTCCTCCCGCTCACCGCTGTCCTTTTAAAATCGGCAGGATGTTTACAGTCAAAAATGGCGGAGGAGGAGTCTGTTGCTGAGGCCGACGCTGACAGACGGCGCACTGTGAGCAGAAAGCGGAGACAGGGGGCGCTGTGTCACAATCTTTATATATACAGTGAAGTCTATGGACACATGCTTACCAGAGAGCCTGCTGGCCAATACATTGATAAATATGGTTATCGAAATACAGTGCATCGTGTTTTACATAGTAGACTAACACATTCCATGCATATCCTATTTTCAGATTAGTACTAAATTGTTGTTGTTTCATAATATTCCTAACTTTGTTAAGGGGTTCACTTCTCACTGAGTTACCCATTGTCCAATAAAGTGTAGTAGGTCATATATAAGTATTACCTCTGTATGAATCTACTCATGACTGCTGAAGGCTTCTGATAGACACTTAACCTACTTTTATACAGATTATGGTTCTACCCAGGCCCATTACGACTCACTATCAACAGAGTGGCCCCAACCAAACCAGCATCTTTTAGGTAATGCACATCTTTCCCAGTAGGCCTATACCTTTTGACAACTGATTGTTTTATTCAGGAGTCTCAGTTGCAGGGCTCTGCTTCTGTACGCTCCTCTGCTGGTAGGCCAGCAGAGCCATAATCAACGTTATCTTGATACACATGAACCAAATATCCTGCTATAAAAACTCACATCTCACAAGTAGCCTAATGATTAATTCAATTAAGGTTATTTGGGCAAATTCATCACGAGAACTTTAATAAGGTGACACATTGTGTACATAAGGATGAAAGACTGAAATGAACAACGCCTGCTTAACATATGCAGTCCTTTGAGTTGAATACCAACTAAGGAACTAGCCATCCATGCAGACTACAAAAAAACAATGTCCAATATTAGATGGAGAGATGAGGAGCATGCCTGGCAGAGAGGCCAACTCATCTACAATCAAATTGCAAAATTGGTATGCAGTAAAGCGGATTTGTCTCATAGGCTACAGCATCTGCTGCTGTAGAACGGCTGCCAGTTGAGCATGTTTATGATTTACAAGCAGCAGGGCTCCACATCATTAGATTAAAGTTACATTTGGTTGTTATTATCAGCATAGATTGAGAATTGATTTAGCGAATCAGTTCAAGTCACATGCCCTGCAAACCAATGCGTAGCTGGATATCTGCAGTGACATCACAAATTGAAAACAAGGTAAAGTCACATAATGCATCATTATCCCAGGAAAATAACATTGGCAGTAAGCATTCATTACTTTTAGAGGAAGTAATGTAATGTGTGCAAATATGCTCAGAATCAATCAGAAACCCCGCCGCACAAACTCACAGGCTCATTGGGAGATTCATTTAATATTTATCTAGGCCAAATTACTACACCATTCCCAAATTGAAAGCAGACAGATGCAGGAGAGAGAAAAATGAATTGAAAAAAGGTATTTAATATAAAACCTGATGGAAGGAGCTTTTAATGTATTAGCAATATGATCATTTTAAATCTAAATCTATAGTGTCTTTTGAATCATGCAAATAAATTAATGTCGGACACGTTTTAACACAAAGATGCACATGTCTGGACGGTGACACACTTTTGGTCTGCCATCTGCTAGACAGGATAATTTTATCCAGATAGCTGAATGCTGGTTGTTGTCGTCATGTGGCGGAGACGTCTAAACAGCCTCAGAGAAAGCAACCACTTCTATACTTTCCTGCTTTTAGATGAGCTACTGTGTTGACGTACAATGTGTGAGTCACAAAGGCTGAACATCTGATTATCTCTACATACCAGAACAGAAGTATATTATTATGTGCACAGCTGTATGAAATGCTGTGCTTTGTATTTGTTGAAGTAGTCTTGTATGTATACACAAACTGTACTCAGGAGAGATGTGGGCTGAAAAGAACCACTGATTTGTATCTAGGCAACTGCTGAGTTGAGATTTAGATTGCTTTATTCCTAGGAAATGAATTGTTTCTGGCTAATGGTGCCATAATGTGCCTAATCTTAATTTATTTAATTATATCTCCACAGGGATCCCCTTCTACTTATCTGTAACTGCTTTTTTATTAGGCGCTGTATGACATGCTGTAGTACTGTCACTGCAACAATCTTCAATTTGTTTTCACCTTCTATGCTCATTAAATATATAATATAGTGGTAGGTTTGATTAGATACATTAAGTGATGGGTTTCCTTCTATTTATTTTTTCCTGAGTGTATTTGAAACCTGCTCCATTAATATGTGATGTAAAGCTATTAGAAAAGGAAGGACATTTCTCAAACTTGGCTGGAGTCACAGTATTAAAACTTCCAGTGGGGAACTGACTGCATGCATGCTGAGATCCATCTCCTCTGCAGATACACATCTCCTCAGTAGGATCGTGAGACTTTAAACTGATTAGCATACCGTTAACTCACACAAGCAGACCTTTGGCAGTGGATTTACCTCCCCAGCGCAGCATTTTCACTTCATGGTTTACCAAAAATCACTTATTTCCTTCCACTCTGTGCAACAAAGCATCTGCACATCTGGATCTCTGAGATTTCTTCCTGATTTTCTTCCACAGACCATTCAGAATTGTCCAAATGTTTTCCTGCCCAGTGTTATATACTGCACAGCTTTTTCCTCCAAGAGTTATTTTTCTGTCCATGTGTGTACGTGTGTGTGTGTGGTTTGGGGGTAGCAATCTCTCGTGTAGCTGTTGCTGCAGCTGAGTTGGCAGCTCTTATGCACCATGGGATCATCCTGGATAGATGCTGTTATTTATGCAGCGTGTCTAAACCGATCATCCTGACACAGATTTATGTAAACACAGCAGTTTCTTGGCATAGGAAGAGGTTCACACACGCACAAGGAGGAAGGAAGCTAAAGGTATTATTTAGTTTGGCTCTCCCTCAGAGGGCGCAGTGCATAAACCCAACATGGGAAATGTGTTTTAGGATCCCTGAAACTCTTACTAGCAGGTCAGAGAGGGAGAGGGATGACAACTAGGTCAGTGTCGAATTTCAAGTGTAATGTAATATCTAGACACATGATCATTAGTCAGACGAAAACAGACACAAATTCATTTTTTAATCAAACATTTTATTTGAGTTTTTATTTTTGTTTTATAAAATTATTTTACAAAATGGTGAATGTTCCCCTATCTTTCCAGTTTAATCTCTATAAAATTAGGTCTGCAGTTACGGAAGAGAGGGAAGGAAGCAGGCAGAGATTCAGTGGGGATGACATCCTGTCTCACAAATACTGTGTAAGAGAGAATTACAAGTTCCTACAACAGAAAAGGCAGGAATGTCAGCATCAGATGTGGTGATAAGTCTTGGTAGCATTCCAGTGTTAAACAATATCATTTAGGGAGCCTTTATGGGTTACTGGATATTGATAAAGAAAAAAAGACAATGAAATGAAAACTAGGACCTGTTTTTCGCACAAGCCAGATGAGAAAAAAAGTGTATTTCTTCTGAAGGCACATCAATATATAACCCCCTGCCCTCTGAAACAGAACGTTAGGAAGGAGAGAAGATAGAGAAAATATCATCTTAAATATTGCACCAAGTTCATTTCTGAAATGTGATTCTCTTTACGACCATATTCAGTTGTCTTGATAGCACTGTGTTTAGTAATGCCGGGATTGTTTATATGCTGTGAAGTTGATGTCACATTCTAAGACGTGAAAAATACCATGCAGCACAAATCTCTCACACCTACAACCTTCCTTTCCCCTCTGTCTCACACATTTTACTTTCTAATGTAGACAAGAAATACTTTTAATGAACCAAACAAAAATGGGAATGCATGGCATCTCTTGTACGAATATCCTTGTAAGATGAAAAGGTGTTAACATTTTTTTATTTATGATCTATTGGCACATATTATGGTGAAGTTTACCTCACAAAATGAAAGCTACCACAGGAGGCGTCGGGGCAGGTGTGGTTAGATTGTTCTAGAGAAATGTTGCTGGCTTTAGAGCGATACTTCATGGACAGATCTGTGACAGATTTGATGGATTTAAAAACATTTTAAATCCATCAAATTGTGTAACTAGTTTGGATAAGCTGATATGACGTATCAAGGCGGAATCAAAATGAAGCGTGATTGTTAAAAGAACAATTTTTTTTTTAAGTGAATTGAATGAATTAGCCCTGTGAAGTTCCACTGCTATTCAATTTACCAATTTGCAGTTAATTAGTCTCAGATCAAGATATATGACAACGACAGAATTATTAAATATACTTGGAACATCCTGGTTTCACACTTTGCCTCTTGAATGTGTTAAAGCACAATACCAATCAGAATCCAACTGAGATGAATTGGTGTTTACATTTGTGATTATCAAGGACACAATTCTGCATTCTGCTTATACTGTAGATTGAAAGGCTTCTTAATTTCATGTATTTATGTTAAAGAAATACCACAAATTAGAAAAATTGCATGCATAACTCAACATTCCCTATGCTTTTTTAAATGTTCCACAAATGCTTGTTCAGATTTCTTGTCAGTCTGGTCATATTGTTCATACCAAGTGGGGGAAATGGAGTAGTCTTTTTGTTCTGATGCCAGCTCTGACTGAAGCATTGTTTGATGCTTCTAAATGAAAGCAGAGTTAGCTCACGTCACTTGTCAGCCTGGGTCACTGGACTAAATGAAATTGGGTTTATGGCATGAAAACAATCACTGTGTATAAATATCCCTCGCTATCTAAGCCCATAGAGATTCATTGCCTTGTTGTTATTGTTTTTTATTTAAAACAGACGATTGGTTGGCTGAATTTAGCAAGCTCATCCTCTTTTAACCACTCTTGTGATCTTCTATTATTCTCCAGGCCAGCACATATTCATGTACTAATTCAAGCTTTTCATATAAGCCTTTCAAAATTGAAGAAGAGACATGAGGAAGAATTCTTGCTAAAAAATTAATATACAGAACTCAATTCAATTTCTGCATTTCTATTTCCGTCATGTGGATATCAATTCATTTCCCACATAGCATATTCAGTGAGTCTAGCTAGTTGTGTGATGCTGATTAAAAATGTTCAGAATGGCACATGATTTTGTACGTCAACTAAATACAAATTAAATGTCTT